CCCACCAGTCACCACGGTCACCACGGTCACGAGGGCAACGCCGGACACAACCAGCACGGACCGCACGAGCCGCAGGCCCGACAGCACAAGCACCGGTGCGTACGGCGAGGACTGCGAGCCGGGAAGATACACAAGCGGCGTCGGCCTCGCGGAGACCAGCAGGGAGTCCGTCACCGTCAGCACAGACCCCGCGGGAAACGTGCCGGTCAGCACAAGCGCACCGTTCAGCGCCTCCACATCGCACACGGACAGCTCCACCGGCCCGCCCTCGTCGCTCCCCGCCGCCCCCGCACCGCGCAACGCTCCACCGCCCATCACGTACAGCACGGCGCCGTTCAGCAGCGACACGTTCTGCACAACGATCCGCACGCCGTCCCGCGCCATCCACGGCACGTAGAGCACCGGGCTCACGCCGTCCAGCACAACGTGGCGCAGCGTCACCTCGCTCGCGCCGGCAGGCACAACGAACACCGACCGCACCGTCACGCCCTCGCGGAAGAACACACTCGACGCAGTGCCCACAGCGGGCGGCAGCGCGGGAGCTCCCACCGGCACGCACGCCTCGCCGTACCCACCGCTGCTGCCGCACGCGCACACGCACACACCGTTCCTCATGCTCGCCGACGCCGTCCCGGGCGCGTAGCAGTGCGTGTTCCTGTCGCAGGCGTCGCACCCAACAACGTCGATGCTCCCAGCGTCGCCAAATCCAGCCGCTGCGTACTCCTCCGCCGTCGACAGGACTCGCCCACCGGCGTCGTTGCACGCCACCCTCACATGCGCCCCAGCTACAAGCGACAGGCTCACCGACAGCATCCGCGGCAGCAGCGCTCGGTTGCGCACAAAGCTCAGCGTGCTCCCAGCAGCGGTCACGGCGCCAGCGGTGTAGAGCATCTCCCTCGAGACGCCGTCGTGCACGTTGCCCTTCGCCAGCAGCATCGACCCGTCGGCCAGGCTCACCGTCGAATAAAACGCCACCGCGTAGTCCTCCGTCGACAAAAATTCGCTCCGCACAAGCGCCACAGCAGAGCCCGACACGCTCACAGCCCCACGCACAGACACCGCGTGCTTGCACAGCAGGAAGTCACTGTCAACAAACGCCACCACGGAGCCGCCACTGGCCGCAACACCGCCCTCCACCGACACGCACAGCCCCAGCGCCGTCTGCACCGACAGTCCCTCCACGTACAGCGCACCGAGCGACGACAGCGCCACACCGCCAACAAACAACATGCCAACAGCGTCGCGGAAAACCGCCGCCACGTGCGTGCGCGCAATGGTCAGCACGCTCCCCGTCAGATTCACGTTGTGCACCACGAGGCACGCGGAGGCGTCGCCAAGGCCGTAGGCGCCACGGTACGCAACACGCGCCTCCGCAATCAGCACCGAGTCCACCACAGTGACGCGCGAGCCAGGCGGAAATCGGTTCGCCACCACCACGCCGCCGGAGCGCGACTCAAGCCCGCTGACCAACACATCAACGCGCTTGCCAGCAGGCGGGTCGGACCGCCACCCAACAACGTACAGGCTCGCTCCGTCCACAAACAGGCAGTTCGCCAGTTTCACGTTGCGCACGCTCCCCGACATCGACTCCACGTCCACCAAGACGTCCGCCGCAAAGGTCACGCCAACGTAGCACGCCACCGACGTCCCGAAACTGACGTTCACCTCCACACCCACACGCACGTCACGCACGCACAAATCAACGCCGTCAGTGCTCGGCGGCTCGGGGACAGCAACGGGCAGGCACGCATCGCCGCGGCCGCCCTCAGCACACCTGCAGGCGCAGCCATCTCTCGAGGCCGTCGCCGTGTACGCAGGGAAGCACGAAGCCGCGAGGGCGCATGGGTCGCTGCAGGTCAGGATGGTGGCATTGTACACGGACGGTATGCTGTATTTCACTCCCTCCCCGTCGTTCACAGTGTTGCACGCGGCCACAATCGCTCCGTTTGTGAGATCGCGGGACCTTTTGGGTATCCGCAGAACTGTCGGCGTGCCCGTGCTGGACATGAATCGGTTGCCGGACACAGACACCGTGGAGTCGCGGAGATTCACCGTGGGGTTCAGAAAGAGGAAGGTATCCGATGGGGATTCACGGCAGAGGTTGCCGCTCAGCTGCAGCCAGGAGTTGTAGTAGATGTAGGAAGAGTAGCTTGAAAAAAATACAGCCGAGCTTCTCTGCATGTCGTTGCCCTGAAACACAACCGCTGACCGAGACTCCACACGTAACGCCAAAATTACTAACAAAAAGTACTTCACCTGCCTCGTCACAACGTTGCCTCGGATCACCACAGCAGAGTTGTTCAGCACCTTCAGCGATGAAAATTGGCCAGACCCTTCAATATTTATCAGCGTACTGTTAGCGCCGTGCATATGAAACGTGTTGCCCAGCACCGCAAGCACGGAGTGCCACGACACCCTCAGCGCAGATCCAACAAATTTTATGACACTTGACGATGTCGTCACGCTCTGAAACACATTGCCACTCAGCACCACCGCGGAGTCGTTGCTGATCACCAGTCCATTCATCACAACACACGACGGCCTCCTAAGGTCCAAACCCAACCAATGGAACAGCCTCGTGACCGCAAAACGGTTCCCGCTGATCGTGATGTTTGTGTGCGGTGGAAACACACCCTCCGGGCTGAGCAGCGCGTCAATAAATCTGTTGCCGGTGACGACGATGTTCAGCGACCCCACAGCGGCGTGCACGTTGCCCAACAGCAACAGCACGGCGCCGTCCCTCCACGTGCAGCCATCGAACGTGACTTTCACCACGTCGCCCGTCATCCCCCCAATCAGCACCGTCAGGCTCATGCCGCCCCCGCTGAACGTCACGTTGCGGTAGCACAGCCACGACAGCCCGCCGCCCACTGCCTGCGGAACCTCGGGGTACACCATGTCGCTGATGCACTCACCAACCGGCGGTGGCGGTGGCGATGGCGATGGCGATGGCGGCGGCGGTGGTGGCGGGCCAGCAGGCACAGGCGCTGGGACGCACACATCGCCGTGCCCTCCAGCAGCGCACCGGCACTTGCAGCCGCTGACCGCCGTCGTCAGAGGAGCAAAGCAGTCGCCGTCCTTCGTGCACTCCCCGCACGCAGCAGCCGTCGTCACGTTGGTGATGCCGTTCAGCGCCAGTTCGGCCGCCGTCGTCACCTCCCGTCCCGCGACCGTCAGGCACCCAGCAACGAACCGGTAGCCGGCGTCAGCCCGAGATAAAAGGGACACCGACAACCCCGTCGAGCCCATCTTGCAGCCAGTCAGCGTCACCACACTGCTGCCGTCAATGCTCACAAAAGCGGAGCTACTGTCGTAGAACATCGCACCCACCTCCACGTCGTTGTCGCGCCAATCCAGCCAGCTTGACCGCTGAACAGTCCACATGTCATCGTTACAGATGGCGTAGCGCACGGAGCCGCTGTTCCCCACCACGCGCACCACGCTGTGATCCGACACGTTGAATCCCTGCTGTTGATACAGCAGACTTGCCCCGGAGACCATCGTATTGTTGAGCAGCGCAAAAACAGAGTGGTCACTCACACTGAGACTGTACGCGTAGAACAGGTATTTGTATCCCTCAAAGCTGCAGTACCGCGTGTACAGCGAGCTGCCACCCACCAGCGTCAGCGTCCCGGTCGAGTAAAAACCAAGCGCATCACGCTTCGTCGCATGCGCCTTGACGTTGCTGACCAACAGCGAGGACGCACTCAGCACGGCGTCCTTCAGCAACAATACGCTCAACGTGTTCATCCTAGTGTCCGGCAGTTCAAACACGGAGGACTGCACCGCGTCAACCTCCGTGACGGCGATGTCGCAGTGCTGCGGGAGGGCACGTATAAAAGCAACGGTGGAGGAACGCATCACCGTCCGGCTCACGCGGATCAGGACGCCAGATGACTCAACCGCCGCCGCACCCCCAACAAACTGCAGCGCGGCACCACCACGAAATGTGCACCCAGTGAGCGTGATGTTGATGGGGAGATGCAGCGGCATGCTGTTGAGGGAGAACGTCAGCACGGCACCCACGCCGCTGAATGTCACACCCACGTAGCAGTGGTGCGTCTTCCACATGTTCAGCGCGAGGTCCATCAGCGCCTGGTCCATCACGCAGCTCGTGTCGCCGTCGACGGCTCTCTCCGCTGCGGGCAGCACAACAGTGTCGGGCACCTCGAAGGGAAGACACGACGCGCCATGCCATCCGTCCTTGCAGCTGCACGAGCACGAGCCGCGGTCCACCGACTCCGTCCCGGGCATGTAGCACGCCGCGTCGTCGTTGCATGTGCCGCACCTGAACACCTCCACCACCTCCGGAAACACACCGTCGTACGACACCTCCTCATCGCCCTGCAGGTTGCACCCAACCACAAACCGCGCGGGTAGCTCAACAATCGTGTCTGGCGGAGAAAGATCAGCAAAGGGATAACTATTGTCCACCTGACGGTTGTGTGCAAGCGCCACGGTGGTGCCGCTGCCCGACAACTTAATTTTGTACTGGGGATGCGGAATAATTAATACTGAGGCTGCACCCACGCTGTTGCCCTCCACACGCCACTGCGCACCTCCCTCGAGGGTCACCGAGCCAGACAAATACACCAGCGCGGAATCAAAGATTTCCGTCCCACCAGCGAAGGTGCAGTCCGCCACCCGCAGCAACCCCGCGGAGCTCACGGTTGTATCCCCCCAAAAAATAACGCCATTGACCGAGCTCATCGTGTTGTTCTCCACGTCAAAGTAGCCGCCGCTCTTCACTCCAACGGCATTAACGCAAACAGATGATTCCACACTGTCATCGTCCTTCTTTGTGCTCAGCGTATTTCCCTTCACAATGATCCCGCCACCAACAACAACACCATTGAAGAATAGACTGCGTACCTATTCGCCTCAATGTAGTTCTCGAGTA